GTGGTGAACAAATCTGGTGGTCATCCCCGAGACTGCTTCGCTTTTGGTCTCGTGTGTTTGGCCTCCTTTTCACCTTGTTTCATCTCTCCATACGTCGGGATGCTCGGCATGCTTTGCTTCATTGTCCCATACCGGGCCTCTTGGTTCACCAGCAGAAGTTGGCTTCCTGTTTGTTTTTGTCAGCCACTAGAACAATTGCTCTCAGGCCTGGAAGAGCCCGTTTGTCCCTCTTTAGGAGGTGCAGGACCGTATGACCACTATGATGCTCAATGAACAGATGTTGAGTATTTGCAACGACTCCCAACGTAAATTCTTGAAAATATGGGACCCGTGGTTGCAATATGCCTTTCCCACACTCCCCCCGGCTAGTTTGGAGATGTGATGTTGTTCGGCATTGGCGTTCTTGGATCCCTGCTCTTTTGTTATCTTTTTTTTTTTTTTTTTTTTGTACTCCTTTTTCTTTTTTTTTTTTTGTTTGTTTTTGGTGTGGCAGTGGATAGCTGCCTTTAGTTTGAGTTACTATCAGCTTTATACTAATGTTTTGTTATTTAAGTGCCATTGACAGCCCCTGCGTGGGCGCACCTTTTGCTCTGTTGGTGTTAGAGCACTGATTGTACTACTTTTTATAATTTTTTATGTGCAGTTGATAGCCCCTGCGTGGGCGTGAATTGTTGCTCCTGTGTTAAACTGTTACAAATTAATAAAAGCCATTTGAAATACAAAAAAAAAAGTTATACTCCTACACCCACAGTTGATCCTATTCTGCATTGCAGTGTACATTCAACTCCTGCACTTTCCTTTTTTCCTCTGTAAAACATGTTACAGGGACTCAGGGGCGGACTGACTATTTGGAAACTCGGGCACTGCCCGAGGGCCTGGGGTAAGTAGGAGGCCCCATAAGATGCCCCTGGTACCTTTTTTTCATAGGCTTTTTTTGAGTTTGGACAAGGACACAGGGACCCCATGATCCCTTATTGCCCGGGGGCCCCATGAGTTGTCATTCCGCCCCTGCAGGGACTCAAAGCAAAGAATGTGGTGCGGCCCATTCACACACATTTTACAGCAAGAATGTACATATGAACCAACCACTAGAGCTGGTTCCATTATTCACTGCATAAATCTTGAACAGAAATTGTACATGAATGGAATATAGAATGCCATGACTGTCTCTGTCTCTGGAATCGGACATCTATGTTTTGAAAGCTGTTGAAGTTTACTCGAGGTCTTAATGAAGAACGTGCTAATATTTGGAATGGGATCTGCGAAAGGCTTTTATATAACAAGAGGCTTTCATGTGTGAGTGCTGCGTTCTCTGGCGTCACAATCTACAATTCTGTCATCTAGAGCTGTGCAGAGTACGACACACAAGTATTGTTCTGCTGTACGTTGTACTTTCAGCCATCCTAATAAGGGTTCGTTTACAGCCCAATCCCCTCGTTCAGCGTCAAGTTCTGCATGCACATTGACACGCATTTCTGATGCCTGCATTTGCCATGGTTTTGTTTTGTTTTTTTTTTCTTGCTTAGTTTATTTATTATTTTAGTTGCATTATACTTGTATTTTTAGTGTCTTTTTTAGGCATTATTTAGTATTTTTGAGTTGTGTTTACATACGTTTTGGTATGCTTATATGAGAAAAAATGTAGCCTACTGTACTGTTTTTTTTATTTGTTCCTGAAAGCCTTGCAGAGGTATAGACTAAGCTCATTGACATACATAAATTTTTCTTTCATACGTGTTTGACTGCATTTTGTGTAAACTTGCTCTGGGGGCTCATTTAGACTTTAGGTTGGGGGAAGGGGTAAAAACATATGGTTGAGCCACATGAAAAACTCGTATATGGGGGTGTTTACATGCTGTGGGCACAATGCTTTTGCTTCACAGCAAAAATTTTCCCTGCAGCAGGCAGTATCCCAGCTGAAGATGACCGATTCAAATGAATAGGGCCACCCAGCAATCGCATGCAATGCATGTTGTAATGGCATGGTGATACAGAACTTATTATTATACAGTATTTATATGGCACCAACAGTTTGCGCTGCGCTTTACAAAATGAAGGTAGACACTTAATAGTGAACAGGCAGTGAGGTGGCAACATATTGCTTCCTGATCCCATCAAACGTCTGTGAAAAGCAATCCAGCTGCAGATTGCTTTTTAGAGGTGTGGAAATCCTGCCACCTGTCTAAACCTAGAAGGGTTTGCTTCTCTATAACAAGCCATCCACAATATAAACTGTGGGCCCATACATAAACATGTGTTAGCACTCAAGGATTTCATCAGATGGAAAATGTGTAGTGCTGGAAGTGAATTAGGACATACAGTATATAGGATCGTGTGTGTGTGTCAGTTATTATATACAGTAGAAATATTTTTATCTTTTCAGGATGATAAATAATAGAGACTTATAAGAATTTTGCTTCTGAATTCATGAAACTTTTGTGCAACATCATTTCATGAGAAGTGCTGGCTATGGACTGCTGATGAAGATGTCCCGGATGTCTAACAGTCGCAGTGTGGGGAAACGCGGTGACCTCTGCAGACCTCCCAGGCCAACTGCTTCTGGGTATATGGGGTGGGTTGTTTCAGTGGGGTGGTATGTTGCTGTAATGCACAAGTTTTAGAACCCCTGTCCATGCTTTTTTTTTCTTTTCCGTGCGTGTGTGTTTGAAGCAGTTGAGCAGTTTGTTTGGATTTCTTTAAGCCTGTGTACCAAATGAAAGAAATCTGTAAACGTATGGCCAGCCTAATATTTGTCCTTTTTGTTAATCCGTGGTACAAATGAGGTAACGGCTCTTTTTATTCCAGTAACCATATCTGTGCGAAAACATTTTTAATTGTATATATTTTTTTTTTTTTTTTTCCACTCTCCTCTTATTAGTATTCTCTCATTTATACTGTTATCCTAATGTTTATAACATGTGATAATGCTCTCGCTGTGTTAACAGTTCAGACCAAAGTAATTATGATGTCAGCTGTCTGGTATTTTTTCTTTTTTTCTTTTTTTTTTTTCTTTTGAGAGTGACTCAAGTTTAAAAAAAAAAAAAAAAAAAAACCTTTTCTCCTAGCCTTGCCCTTTTACCAGGGTGACTTGGGTTGTGGGAAGCAGTGTCCAGAGTTTTCTTGGCGGTATTACTGAATAAGGCCTTATTATTGCTTCTTCCAGCAATAAAAGCCATGTTATGTCTCTTTTCATCCTTCTGCGGTTTGACTTGTACATCTTAAAGATTTGAGGGCTACATTGCAATATACTGTCACCATGGTAGATGGGTGACAGTGGCCTTTACCAGGGGTCTCCAATCGTTTCAATATGAGGGCCGCATCTAATATTTTTTCAAATTGTTCACAAGCCAAAAAAAAAAAAAAAATCAAGGAAAAACTATTTTTTTTTTCATTTGTAAAACTGGTGTTTTTCTGTAATTGGCATGATGTGATTTTAGAATTGAGAAAAAACTTAAAGGCCAGTTCACACTACATGCATTTCAGTTGCTTTTTTTCTGCATCCAAAATGCACAGAAAGTAGGTTATATGGTTGTCAATGTTCTAGTTTACATCGGTGCTTGCAGTTCCAGTGGGTTCTGGTTGCAGAAACAAAGTAGAATATGCTGCATTTTTTTTTCTGCACAGAACAGCACTGAAACACGGTAAAGCATCAAAAACGCACTGGAATGCACCAAAAAACGCTTTGGAACGCACACATCCCTATTTAAATTGAAGAAAAAGAGAGGGGGGGGGAAAAAATGAACTGGAAAGCATAAAAACGCACGCAAACGCACCGGGACGCGTCAAAAACATGCATGCGGAAACGCATCTGGAACACATCTGGACTGCATTTCTGTAGTGTGAACTGGCCCTAAAAGCAGAGAAAATCTTTTATATCAGGTCCCCCTTACGTCAGAGGACCAGATAAAATCTTGCAGCTGGCCAAATTTGGCCCAGAGGCCACAGTGTGGAAGCTCCTGGCTTCCACATTAAGCTCTATGGCTCCATGCTCATTGGCTTTAGAAAAAAGTTGCTCCTACAGGAGTTCAGCATTTTTGCCTGTAGAAGCAACTGTGTGTCCATGCACATTAGTAGTCTACAGGCATTTTTTAAGCTCCATGTTTAGAGGCAGAGAAAGAACCTGTCCTGTTTTTTTTGTGTTTTTGAAAGCATTTTTCTGGCAGGAAAAAAACGCTCTTAAACACTAGTAAAAAAGGCTCCCAAAATTAGCATTTTTTTTTCTGCCAAGAGCGCAAAAAGTGCAATGGCATGTTTTTTAACCTAGTGTAAAATGTTGGAAGCATGATTAAAATGTACACAGTGCAATGCATTGATGTGGGCTTAAGTGGTTCTAAAGAAATAGGAGCAGGGAGGCTGAATCCCACTGTCATTGGACACAGCAATTGCGCTCCGGAGTGAGCCCGCACGACACTAGTGCCCCCATGGGAAGCTGTTTCCTGTTGGGGGCACTAGTCAGAGAGGAGGAGTCGGGAGCACCAGCAGGGGACCCGAGAAGAGGGGGTTCAGGGCCTCTGTGATATTCTATTGCAAAGAGCAGGTAAGGGTTGTGGTGGGTGATTGTTGTTGTTTTTAATTTTTTTTTTTTCTTTTACAGCCACTCTAGTATTTTTTTTTTTTTTCAGATATATAATATCTAATATTATCTCTGGGCTCCATGTTCTGTTCCATTTGTGCTCTCCAAACAAATTACAGTCCTTTTTTCATTTGCAGTCTTACACTGAATGAAGAATTTTTTTTTTTTTTTTTTTTATAGTTTTTTTTTTTTTTCAATTGTATCTGATGTAGCAGACTGTAGCATGCCACTAATTTGTATGCGTGTGCTGTAGTTGCAGTTTGCATTTATCTGTGGATTTTTGACTATAAAAATGGCAAAGGTGTGAATGAGGCTTTTTTGGAATGTATTGGATCGAACATTTAATGTCCCCACTAATATGTAATAGTTGGACATTCTCTGTTCCAATAATGGCTTCTTCCAATGTATGTATTTTGTGTTCTTGCAGGTGCCTGAAATAATTGGCTCTATTAGACAAGCTGGAAAGTTGGCCCGTCAAGAGGAAATCCATTCTCATTTGTGCGATGGAGATGACGCTTTCTCAAAAAAGTTTGAAGTCCTCTTCTGTGGCCGGGTGCTTGTAGCCCACAAAAAAGCCCCACCAGCCCTGATAGATGAATGTATTGATAAATTCAACCATGTCAGCTGTACCAAAAAGAAAGATAGTGATTCTTCATCTCCAGTGATGCTGCCGGCGGATGTTAGCACTGGAATATCCTTTGGTGACAAACTACGGTCTGTTTTTCAATCAACTTTTAATGACGAAGAAAAACAGAAACCTATTCGTAAATCTTACTCCCAGCCTGGCCTGAGGACTAACAACTCCTTTCAGAGGGACTGGAAAGATGGCCACTGCAGCCTTCCTGGATCCTTTGAGGATGGCGACAGTAGTTTGGATTTACAAAACTTGAGTGAAGAAAAGAACTGTGTCCAACCAACAGACATGGAAGAAAACCAGACTATGCTGTTCACAGTATGTATGGAGAGATAATTCCTTATACACACAGTGTGTGGGCCGTCAACAAATGAGTGTAATTAGGAATATATGTTTGTCAGTGCTTTATGAAATGATGTGCTCCAAAGCAGGACCAGGAGCCATTTTATTTGGCCTCTAACCAAGCATGTGATCCATTCAAGTGAGTGAGGCTACTCTGAAACTGTCTCACAACTGCATGTGGCACACTAGTGTGGGGTTCAAGGGGTAAAGCATACAACACCACCTCACTGTGAAGTGGTCTCTGAAGAGCGAACCAAATGTGGATCACTCTTCGGAGACCAAAGCTAATGTGGAGGAGCCCAAAGTGTTCATTCTGCAGTCAGTCTTTTCATCCAACAGCTGGCTATCCTAGCGGAGAGAGTGAGAGCCCTGAGCATCAGTCAGCTTGCATATTTAACCCCTTGGCGCCAGCACCTCCCGGCCCTTTAAGGGTTTCAGAAGCCAGGAGGCAGGGTGGGGTTTTAAGGTCATGTGACCGCTGTGATTCGCCGTCATGGCGGTCACATGATCTGGAAAGGTCCGGATCGAAAGAGGAGATCGGGACCTTTCCGCGAGTGCAGGGCACACGCTCTCAGCACATATGTTTTTGTTAATTGCGCGCAAATGTGCGGCCGCTCGGCGTCAAGGCCAGGAAGCCGGGAGGTCGCACATTTGCGTGCTGCCGGCGTGAAGAGGTTAAGGACCTGTGACTAGCTGAAACTAATATTACTAGTTTAGATGTTGACCTGGGAATGGGGGCTTTATCTGACCCAAAGCTCTACAAAACATCAAACTCTGAAGCACCTTACCATCTGTAGGACAGAAAGCTATGTGACGCCATACACCAGGGGTGCCCGATCTTTTGAAGAGCGAGGGACATTTAAATGATTTGGTAACTGGTCTTGGGCCACAATGAAATGAAATGGTTCAAAATTTCGATTTTTTTTTTTTTTATTAGCTGACAGGAGGAAGAGGAGAAGAAGCTAACTTCAGTGGTTGCAGCAGGAAAATGGAAAGGATCAGTTGCTGTATATGCTGCCCTTCTCGTCCAAGTGTAAAACAGAATGTGACAGGGAGGCTAAAAATTCCCCCTGGAGAATGGGTCAGGGTCACCATAGCCACTGACTCCACACCAGTGATTGGGGGGGGGGGGTGGTAAAAACACGTGTCAAGTATGGGGTTTTACTGCCTCCTAAACCACAAATGTACACAAGCCCTTACTGTCCTGAGCCCCCTATAGGGCTGTTTTCACACTGATGTACTACAGTTTACTTGCAGCTGCAGTTTAGCTGCACTTTGCCATAGACTTTTATATTTTTATATTTTTCTGAAAGCACACTAAAACTTCTGCATTCAGTTTGAGGTGGAGGGCCATGTCAGAGGGCTTCGAGGGCCACAGGTTGAGCACCCCTGCCATACACCACTGTTTTCAATGTTTTTTCTTGACTCAGTTTTGAGCTAATTTCTCTTTAACTGCCTTCCACCTGGCCCATAGACAAATGACGGACAAACTGGAGTACTGTTATCCTGGGAGGACGTCATGACATCCTCCCAGTCTTTTGCCTCGTGCACGCGCCCTAGGGGGCCACACTGCTGCGCGATCTGTCACCCGTTTGTCCACCGAACTCAGCAGATGACAGATCATTGTACTGGGCTTGACCAATTATTGCGATCACCTGACAGATGTACACAATGGGGGAGATTTTGCGAAACTGGTGCACGCAGAATCTGGTGCAGTTGTGCATAGTAAACAATCAAGCTTTGGCAAAAAAACCTAGAAGCTAATCGAACAAGTTGAAGTTAGAAGCTGATTGGTTACTATGCACAGCTGCACCAGATTCTGTGTGCACCAGTTTTAGTAAATCTCCCCCAATGAATGGTTTTCATACTTTTTGTGGTGATCTGTGATTGTGCTGTGATTGGCCCTTCCTGTACTATGTGATCACTGTGATCATCTGTACAATTTGATGGCCAGTCACAGATCACAGCTTTCACGTTAGCACACAATGGATGCTATTCATAAAAATGATTTGCTTTTAACGGTGATTATCACTGTTCTAAGCAATCATGGGTTAAAAAAAAATCCTGATCACTTCCCCAGAGTAGTACAGTGTCACTGCAGTAACAATGCACTTCTCTGGTCACAGTAGGTGAAAAAAAAAAGCTTTAAAAGTGTGTGTGTGTGTGTGTGTTTGTTTTTTTTTTTTTTTTTTTATTATAATGTCTCAAGTCAGTATTGCTGATCACTGCCACACCATATGGTCATCATAGGATGACCCTGTACTGCTCTGGTGTGGTGTGTGGGAAAAAAAAAATTATGTCATTTTCTTCATTTAACAAAAAATCACCATGCCTCTTGCCAAATACCTTAGTTTGTCTGCTTTCTAAAAAGGGGTCATGTGTGGGTTATTTGCACTGTCCTTGCATTTTAGGGCCTCAAGAAATAAAATAGGCCGTCCGTACATCAATTTTCAAATATACGTGTATACCATATTTTGTAGACTCTATAACATTTATACATACTAAATATTATATACTGATTTGGGTTACCAAAGAAATGTAGCAGAATAAATACATACGTTTGAGAAGAAGAGATTATTTATTTGCAAAACTCTATAACCGAAATGGAGGAATATGTCTTTGTTTTGTTTGTTTGGTACTTGTCTGTCTGTTAATTCACCGGATTTATATATATATATATATATATATATATATATATATATATATTTATTTTTTATATGTTTTATTTAAATATATATAAATCCGGTGAATTAACAGACAAGTACCGTTTGTTTTGGTGTATGTTTTTATTTTGTTTAAAAATTTTCAGTATTTTTTTCTTTTTATATAGCAAAAAAAAAAAAAGAGATTAAATAACATCAAAGGAGTTGAACATTGCATTGGCTAAAGTGTTGCATGACTGAGTTGTCATTCAAAGTGTGACAGTGCTGAAAGCTGATAATTGGCCAGGACTGGAAGGGGGTGAAAATGCTCGATATTGACGTTGTTAACGATCAAAAAATGCCTGTTCACACTAACTTATTAACTGACTGAGCTGCTTTATAAAAAGAAAAATATAGAAATGAAAGCATACCTAAACTTAAACCATCAGCAAAGATGTAATGTAGTTATGGTGGCTGAATGAGTTTTCTTTTTTTCTCCCTCAATATTTACCTGTTGCTTCTGCTAGTAACATACTTCTTGCCCTAGAGCAGGGGTGTCCAAACTATGGCCCTCCAGCTGTTGAAGTACTACAAGTCCCATCATGCCTCTCGGTGTCTTCCCTGTGGATGTCAGAATCTTGCAAGGCCTCATGGGACTTGCAGTTCCTCAACACCTGGAGGGCCATAGTTTGGACACCCCTGCCCTAGAGAGTGACAATGCTCACTCATTTTAACATATTGTAGAAAAATAAGTCCTGTGTAATAATAAAAGCCACATTGTCCGTCTAGGACAGGGTGTTTCTTTAGGACTACAGAAAACCTCCCTTCTCCACGTTTGCATAACATGGGGGAGATACTCTGTGTTCCCCAGATAGAACTGTACCTCACTGTAACCAATAAGTCGCTGTGCCTCTGCTGTACTGTTTTAGGTTTCTGGTAGGATCTACAGGCATTGTTTTAGACTTCTCATACAAGAAATTGTTTTCAGTGGTTTAAACAGACCAAAAAGCAGGAAGGGTAAAAAAAAAGCCATTTCCGGTTGATCTGGTCTTAGTGGGCCAAAGTTTACTTTTGGCTCAAGTTTTCAACAGCCCATGAGCATTTTACAAACGTATTTATTTGGGCTTATTGCACATATTCTATAGCAGGGCTGCTGGCATTTATGTAAAATATGTCTACATGTTGCCAATTCTACCTGAGCTCACGTCCTATAGACAGACTGATTATGTGCTGTACTAGTACTAGACTTTGTTAAAGTGGAAGTAAAGTTCTCCTACTATTCACTGCGGGCAGGCTAGTGCTTTTATTGCATGCAATGTCTCTTCTGCAATAAAACAAACCTACCTGCCTGCTTACCGTGATCCCCAAACTTAGCCTCGGTTCATACTATGAGCAGCATGTGAATCGCACAGGAACCGCACTGCATTCTATTCAGTTGTCATGCGATTCAGTGCAGTGCGATTTGATCCCACTCATTGTCAATGTGCTCAAATCGCACCAAATTGCACAAAGGTGATGCTGGAGTGACTGCATGTAAACAGTGGCTTAAAAAGGCTGCAGGAGATAATCAGAACTGAGACACCAAAAGATTGAAAACAATATTTGCATGAGAAACAAAAAAGGGCAATAAATTGCAGCTTACCTATCCTTGGATGTTGTCTGCATTAGTTTTTCTCTCTTTTTTTTTTTTTCTCCAGTTGACAATCCTGGGAATAACGCACGTCCTTTCTGTGGCTTTGATCACTCTCTGTACAGTATGATGGTAGCAGTGTTGTCACACAAGGTTGCTTTCCAGATTTGGTCAACTAAATGTCCTCCTCCCATCTTTATTGCATAGGGGGAGGTTTTTTGTAGTTCACAGAAGTTGGTTTGGATTGAAGATAAAATTGTTTCATATATCCGGCTACTGGAAAGATCAGCAGGTATTTTCTGTACTTGCTAGAAATGTTCCTGGCCTGGAAAAAAAACAAATCCAGCCACCACATCTAAGGAGTGGCAAGTTGCAATATATTAAATGTAGAACTAAAGGCACAATGTTTTTTTTTTTTTTGTTTTTTTTTTTTTTTGGTAGAGTAATGGAGGGTCACAGCCCCTGTCGGGTTTTTATTTTGCCCCTGTGTGTATGGGGAGACTTCACTACTTGTTTGATAATCAAGCCAAAATAGGAATGGAGAGAAAATGCCTTTCAACGTGAGGGAAATCTCTGATTGTCACCAGGGTTATCAGAACTAGTGTCCACATTGGAAGATTTCCCTTATATTCATGTGCTGGTGACAACCCAAAATTAGGGATTTCCTTTCTTCCCACCGGAGCGAAGCGTTTTTTTAACAGTTTTTCAGGTGTTTTGTTGTGAATTTTTATTGTGTGTTTTTGAGTAGTTTTGCACATTTTTGTACAGCGTTCTTACATGTCTTTGAGCTTTGGTGGTTTAAGGAGCTGGCACATGCCAGCCTCCTAACCAGTGACTTGTCATTGGTTGTTAGGAGCCAGATTCCTAACGACTCATCCCTGCTGATGGCAAAATGTAAGTGAAAAAGCTGGCATTGGGGGGGTTAGTACAGCATGGGGGTTCCCCCAAATCCATACTGGGCTCTTTGGGTCTGGTAAGGATTTTGAAGGAGTCCCCACACCCAAAAAATAGTGAGGGGTCCCCCCCTCAAATCAATCTCAATTGATGAGGGCAAGGGCCTTTTCTCCACAACCCCTGTGGTTCTGGGGGTGTAGTGGGTAGCTTATTGGAATCTGGAAGCCCCCTTTGTGAATGAGAATGGGGTACATAATACCTCTTCTCATTCATCAAAAAAATGTCAAAAGTAAATAAAATGTTTTTGACAATTCCTAATTTAAGAACAAAAAAAAAAAATGTGCCCTGATATAAATCCACCATCAATCACGATGAACGAAAAACGGCGCCTGCCGAACATGACCGATTCCGCCACTTGTCATTCGCCAAATGACAGCACCATGCCAATCCCTCTGCTGCACTAAGTAAACAAAGGGCGGGATCACCTGGTGATCTGGTACCCAGTACAGTCCCCCAAATGTAGTTGTAAAAGAGACCTAATAGAGATGGTGAATCTCCCTAACGAGGGCGCAGACAGCAATAAGAAACTGACAGGGGTTCTAACCTCCTCTTCACTCTATCCAAGAGTATAAAAAATTTTTCTTTAGTAATACTTTAAATGTTTGCTCTTGGGTTCAGGTGTGCTTTAAACTTTCTTTCTTCTTTTTTTTTTTTTTTTTTTTTTTTTAAAGATTGGTCAGTCGGAGGTTTACTTGATCAGCCCTGACACAAAGAGAATTGTTATTGAAAAGAGCTTTAAAGAAATATCCTTTTGTTCTCAGGTAAGTCCATATTTTTTATAGTATTAGTAAAATATTTACTATTTAAAGAGTCAGCAGCCGCAAATACTGTAGATGCTAGCTTTTAAGAACCAAACCCTTTCCTGCCCTGGGATCCAGTGCTTTCAGTTGATTCTTCACTGGTCTTCCACTCTCTTGCACCTTGGAATTCGGAGCCAGTTGTGACTACTGGATATCTCACAGCTGGCTTCCCACTACACATACTCAAGGGAAAGTGGTTCTGTGGGACTGGTCTTGCAGCCTCCTGGGACTTATGATGTATATCAGGCGGCCACGAGAGGAGAGGTGTGGCTGGCGGCCCAAGCAGACGTCCTTGTTTGTCTTGGTGAGAATTGAGGAAGTGGAAGCTGGTACCAGTCGGAATAAAAAAGGTACCCTCTCACCATGAAAGTGCGTGAAGATCTGCTTGCATCTTGAAGTTGACCTTCACTCAAGAATATTCCAAGGCTTGTTTGCTGTCCCCTCATCCATCTCACAGATATACTCCGCCTACTGTGTACACAGCCATGACATGGCGCTGTCACGCATAACCACACTGATTCACCACTGTGTACAGTGCAACCTATGGCGGAAAGACCAGGAATCAAGAAACTGGTCTTTAAAGTGGACTCTTCTGTAATTTACAAATTTGCATCAATCATTTCCTGCCAAATCGCAATATACGTTCCTGAAGATGGCTGTTCAGTATTGATGGGTGTTGCAGTGACCACAGGCTGGAAACTGTAGACACTCAATGCAAAGAGAGGTCACCAGCACGCCAAAGATTCCTCAAACGGGTCCAAAACTTTATTTCCTGGTCACATGATACATACAAAGGCAATGTTTGGGAGCCATGCAGGGCCCCATTTGTCCTGTTAGAGGCCCAGCGTGGCTCCGAGATGGTGCCTTTGTTTGTACCATGTGACTATGAAATACAGCTTTGGACCTGTTTAAGGAGTCCTTAGTGTGCTGGTGACATTTCTTCGCATTATATACAATATTTAAACCCTTTCACAACATTAGGGCTCATTCACATCACTTACAGTGTGGGAGCGCATGAAAGCATTTCACTTCAAGGAAACGGTCTGCTTTCTGCAGATATGTACGGGTGCCATTAATTCTTAACGGCACCCCCATGCATCTAGCAAATGCTGTTGTGCTTGCAGCCACCCAAACGCATGCTACCATAGGACTATGCAGTTTGGTGTGGTGGGATTTGAAAACTCATTCCTGAGGTACTTTTTGCATGTTCCTGTGAATTGGGCAGCCCATAGAAATTGAGTTGCAGAAAACATGCCACGCGGAATATGCAAAAAAGCACACACTCGAACCCACCTCTATGGTGTGAATGCACCCTTAGTCTGTATATCTATGTGAATTGGATGAAACTAGACATCCGTGTCTGAAATGTCTGCAGGCAAAATGCTGAAACCCCAGCTAAAATACCATCACTAGATCAGGCTTGGCTGTCATTTAAAGGCCTTTGGAAGCTTGAGCCTTTACAACCACTTTATGGTTAACATAATACTGTGGCCATGCGTTGCATGTCTCTCTGGTTTACCTTTGTGATTTTAGATGTAGTGTTCAAGAGGGTTGAGTTTATTTACTGTACAGTGGGTACAGAAGAGAATTGCCCCCTTTTAAAATAATCACCATTTGTTGCTTTTGTAGTATGAAATTAAGACACACAGTTTTTTGTTTTATCCAGCTGTATTTACTCAGTGCACCTTATAACATCCGAGTGAAAGATATAACATCAACATGTCAGGAAAAAAAAAACAAAAACAGAATCGCCGAGTTGGAAAAATGACCAACCCCCCCCCCTGAATTGAAAACTAACTTAACACACTCCACTCACACAAAGCCATTTGGCTTTCAACTGTGATTTAGATGTGGTCATTTTGATTAGCTTGGCATGAAAAGAACTTTCCTGGAGAATTTCAGTCCTTGATGAGGCAACTGACGCAAACAATCAACTGTGGATGGCAAGGCACTGTCAAAAAGATCTGCGGGTTAAAGTTGTGGACAGGCACAGTGAAGTGTATTATTAAGAAGTGGAAGGTACTTGGAACAACTCAGACTCAGACCCCCCCCCCCCCCCCCCCCCCCCCCCCCACCCCCCCCCCCCCCCCCCCCCCCCACCCCCCCCCCCCCCCCCCCCCCCCCCCCCCCCCCCCCCCCCCCCACCCCCCCCCCCCCCCCCCCCCCCCCCCGATCAGGATTTCGCTCCAAAGAGAAATGAGCCACGAGGAAACTGGTCCGATAAGCGCCAACACGTGCCAGTCATCTAGGAGACTGACAGAACACAGCTCTGCCTATGTAAGCAAGGCAGAGCTGTGTCCTGTCAGTGGCAGTGTGCTATAGAATTTAGCACAGTACCTAGTGAAAACAGAATAGTAAACATTACACATGGCTAGACACACAGTTAACCCCTTGCTCACCATAGATGTTTAACCCCTTCCTAGTGCATATGTTTAGCACTGTATTAATGTCGCTGGTTCCCACAAAGTGCCAGTTAGTGTCTGATTGTCTGTTGCAATATCGCGGTCCCGCTGTAAGTCGCTGATCATCGCCATTACTAGTATAAAAAAAAAAAATTCCAGTATGTATACAATAGTTTGTAGACGCTATAACTTTTGTGCAAACCAATCAATATATGGTTATTGGGGAAGTAAGAAACAGCCAAGCAGATCCCCACATCAACATAAGCGACGTTGATTCAGAGATCTCTCTCACTGTGTCTTTTTATTCTGACAGCTGGCACTATAACTCCCCCCTTTTCCCACCAGAATACACAAATAAGCTCTTCATCCATTGGCTGCAAGCACTGATTGAATGTTGGTTTTCCAATACAACCATTTGTTCAAGAGACTCTTGTCTAACAACTGGCTTCTTTCAGACAGCAGTACACCCATACCAAAATTTGGCCAGTTCCCTCTGAGCTGGACGATTTTTACTTCCACGTATTCCACATGCATCAAACACAAGGCCCACCATGCCATTTTTCATGTGCCCTTGCACCTTTCCTGCAGCTGCTGCACCCTCCTTGTCTCCACCCCCCCCCCCTTTCCCCATCTCAGTATTCAGCAGCAAAGGACTGAACTCCTCCTACGGATCCTGTACCTCTCTGTGCTGCCACAGCAACCAAAGTGTCTATTCTACATAAAGTCCCAAGAGCTAAGCCTCCCATCTCTTTTCTCTTTTTTTTTATAAAAACAATACACATCTTCTAGAATTTAGACTATATGTGCGTGCTTTAGATGATGACCTTACATAGTTAGTCTGGCTGAAAAGACAAACGTCCATCCAGTTCAACCATTAAAAAAAAAAAAAAAAAAAAGTTATAATCCTATACCCACAGTTGATCCAGAGGACGGCAAAAAAACCAGCAAAGCATGATCCAATTTGCTCCTGCAGGGAGAACAATTCCTTCCTGATCCCCCGAGAGGCAATGGTAGAACTTTGTTGGGATTATATATAGTGCTCAGTTTTGCTCTGTGATTGATTTCTGCTATCTCTCATGCTTTGAATTCTTGTTTCTGTTTAGGGAATACAGCACGTGGATCACTTTGGTTTCATCTGCAGGGAGCCTTTAAAAAATGGAGGCTGTCAATTTGTATGCTATGTGTTTCAATGCACAAATGAAGCATTGGTACGTATTTTATTATATGCATATTGCATTCCATATAATGTTCTCCTAGGTTAGTCACAATCTAGCCAAGAGGGCATATAGAAGTCTTTTTTTTTTTTTTTTTTTTTTTTTTTTTTTTTTTTTTTTTAAGACCTTAAGAAAAAAAATACATTGTACATTTTCTGTTTACCAAACAGTGTATGGTCCTTTGTTTCACCTTCAGCAGGCTGTTTACTGCAAAAAGAGATTGGATTTTATCACTATTTTCTCCAGTAGTCTGCATAATATCTAGGGCTATGTCAAAGTTCTATTGACAGAGTTGTTTGTTATCAATTTTCTATAGGTGCTAGATATCCAGGACCGATCTGCCTACAAGAATACAGTGGGGCAAAAACGTATTTAGTCAGCCACCAATTATGCAAGTTCTCCCACTTAAAAAGATGAGAGAGGCCTGTAATTGGCATCATAGGTAGACCTCAACTATGAGAGACAAAATGAGAAAAAAAATCCAGACAATCACATTGGCTGATTTGGAAAGAATTTATTTGCAAATTATGGTGGAAAATAAGTATTTGGTCAATATCAAAAGTTCATCTCAATACTTTGTTATATATCCTTTGTTGGCAATGACAGAGGTCAAACGTTTCCTGTAAGTCTTCACAAGGTTGGCACACACTGTTGCTGTTATGTTGGCCCATTCCTCCATGCAGATCTCCTCTAGAGCAGTGATGTTTTGGGGCTGTCGCTTGGCAACACGGACTTTCAACTCCCTCCAAAGGTTTTCTATGGGGTTGAGATCTGGAGACTGGCTAGGCCACTCCAGGACCTTGAATTGCTTCTTACGAAGCCACTCCTTTGTTGCCCGGGTGGTATGTTTGGGATCATTGTCATGTTGGAAGACCCAGCCACGTTTCATCTTCAATGCCCTTGCTGATGGAAGGAGGTTTGCACTCAAAATCTCACGATACATGGCCCCATTCATTCTGTCCTGTACATGGATCAGTCGTCCTGGTCCCTTTGCGGAGAAACAGTCCCAAAGCATGATGTTGCCACCCCCATGCTTCACAGTAGGTATGATGTTCTTTGGATGCAACTCAGCATTCTCTCTCCTCCAAACACAACAAGTTGTGTTTCTACCAAACAGTTCTATTTTTGTTTCGTCTGACCATATGACATTCTCCCAATCCTCTTCTGGATCATCCAAATTCTCTCTTGCAAACTTCAGACGGGCCCGGACATGTACTGGCTTAAGCAGGGGGACATGTCTGGCACTGCAGGATCTGAGTCCCTGGCGGCGTAGTGTGTTACTGATGGTAGCCTTTGTTACGTTGGTCCCAGCTCTCTGCAGGTCATTTACTAGGTCCCCCCGTGTGGTCCTGAGATTTTTGCTCACCGTTCTTGTGATCATTTTGACCCCACGGGGTGAGATCTTGCGTGGAGCCCCAGATCGAGGGAGATTATCAGTGGTCTTGTATGCCTTCCATTTTCTAATTATTGCTCCCAGAGTTGATTTGTTCACACCAAGCTGCTTGCCTAATGCAGATTCAGTCTTCCCAGCCTGGTGCAGGTCTACAATTTTGTTTCTGGTGTCCTTCGACAGCTCTTTGGTCTTCACCATAGTGGAGTTTGGAGTGTGACTGTTTGAGGTTGTGGACAGGTGTCTTTTATACTGATAACAAGTTCAAACAGGTGCCATTGATACAGGTAATGAGTGCAGGACAGAGGAGCCTCTTAAAGAAGAAGGTACAGGTCTGTGAGAGCCAGAAATCTTGCTTGTTTGTAGGTGACCAAATACTTATTTTCCACCATAATTTGCAAATAAATTCTTTCCAAATCAGCCAATGTGATTGTCTGGATTTTTTTTCTCATTTTGTCTCTCATAGTTGAGGTCTACCTATGATGCCAATTACAGGCCTCTCTCATCTTTTTAAGTGGGAGAACTTGCACAATTGGTGGCTGACTAAATACTTTTTTGCCCCACTGTACATTTTTTTTTTTTAATATGAAGTGCGCACGCTTTAATCACCTTAATGTACAGGTTTTTGCCTATATGGGGTGGGGAAAGTTCATGATGAACTTATTACAAAAGCACCAAGTGTTGTCATTATACATTTGATCACACCAGAGCTACACTATATATGGCATATGTAAAGTTTCATGTACATATCTCTTTGCTGATCATTACTATCATTAGAGTTGGGAAAGCCTGTAGGGTAGTGAGGAGCAAAGCATTGACTCATGGTAGTGGGAGCTCTGCTCCTTTACCGATCTCCTGTGTTAAATTCTCTCTAGGGAAGGCAGATCAATAAGCTCCCTGAGACCGTTGAATTTAGTTAGAATGGAGGAACCACTGAGCATCACAAGGGACACAGGAGATTGATGCTCTCGAAGGTTTCTATGTACAGACTTTGGCTAGCCATCCATCCTTGATCAGTGTGATGATCAATGGCATAAGTATTTACTTCTTTACTGGTACAGCTTTATTTGCATCTACCATTTATCAACTGAGTCATTGTAACAATGTCCTTTTCTGTTTTTTTTTTTTTTTCATTGAGGGACACTGGAAGTATTGGGCGGTGGGCAACCCTGCAAAGTAAAAAAAACAAAAAAAAACCCCCAAGAAAACAGAAAACTGGAGACTGCCTACTTCTGAAACTGGCATCAGATGAGGCCAAAGCTTTCACCTGGTAGAGAGCTTGCAAACAGAAGACCAGGTGACAGCCTTGCATATCTGGGAAACAGATGCTTGATAATCAAAAGTACTTACAGATCTAGTAGGGCTCACCTTTAGGATGGAGCCCAATCCTTAAGATCATAAGACCTTAGGCTTGGATGATGGTTTGCCTGAGCCACCTAGAAAAGATGTAGTGAGGAACCAGAGCACCCTTCTGGTGTCAATCAGGAATAACAAAAAGCAAATCTTTTTCGAAAAAAGCAGTAGATGAGTTACTCATGGCTGGAACCATATCCCGACAGTGGAGGAAAATTTGCTTGGGTGATCTGGAGCCATTCAGACAAATAGAGGAACTATGTCCTGGTTGAGGTGAAAGGTGGAAACTACCTTTTAGACAAGAAGGAGGTCCTAGGCCTCCACACCACATTTTACCATTGTAAAGCCGGAAGGGCTCCTTGTAGGATAAAGCCACAAGTTTACACACTTTCCTTACAGGACTGATGGTAAAAGGAATCCCACCTTGTGAGAGAGAATAGAGGGGATTGTCCCTCTAATGGGTGCAGACACGGGTTTTGATGCACAGAGATAAATGTTTCAGATTTCAGAGTCACCGGAAATAGACAGGGGAGTTACAAGAGACCTTCTGTCAAAAGGTCTTTATCAGGGAGTGTAAGGTCAACAGTCACTTAAACAAGGCAGAATTGGCTGAAACATGGCCTTTTGATAGCGCTGAGAGCCAAACACTGCTCTAAACCTATCTGCAGGAAGGGGGGAAATTCCATTGCTGTGCTTGTCTCTCAGCACTTTCTGCAGGAAGAGGGAATTCCATTGCAGTGCTTGTCTCTCAGCACTTTCTGCAGGAAGAGGGAGTTCCATTGCAGTGCTTGTGTCTCAGCACTTTCTGCAGGAAGAGGGAGTTTCCATTGCAGTGCTTGTCTCTCAGCACTTTCTGCAGAGGAAGAGGGAGTTCCATTGCAGTGCTTGTGTCTCAGCACTTTCTGCAGGAAGAGGGAGTTCCATTGCAGTGCTTGTCTCTCAGCACTTTCTGCATGAAGAGGGAGTTCCATTGCAGTTTGTGTCTCAGCACTTTCTGCAGGAAGAGGGAGTTCCATTGCAGTGCTTGTCTCTCAGCACTTTCTGCAGGAAGAGGGAGTTCCATTGCAGTGCTTGTCTCTCAGCACTTTCTGCTTCATTGCAGTGCTTGTCTCTCAGCACTTTCTGCAGGAAGAGGGAGTTCCATTGCAGTGCTTGTCTCTCAGCTTTTCTGCAGGAAGGGGGAGTCCACTGCTCTCTGTATAGCTTTGCTACAAAACTGAGGTATGCTGGTGGTAGGAGGGAATATCCTGGGCTGAACTGTGTTGTTTGCCAGTGTCCAATCCTCCTGTAGGCGGCAGTATAACCCAAAGGTTAAAAATTACCTGTGTCTCTCCATGGACTCCCAAGAAAAACATGTTATGGCCTTTTCAGTGATAACGCTCTTGTTTCTGCAGGTAGATGAAATTATGTTGACTCTGAAGCAAGCATTCAGTGTAGCTGCTGTGCACCAGACCTCGAAGACTGCAACACCTCTGTGTGACGGATGCCCCATGCAGTGCATGCACAAACTCTGTGAGAAGATAGAGGGTGAGTGCCTACACACACACACACACGCACACACAAACAGTTGTGTTCAAAATAATAGCAGTGTGTTGAAAAAAGTGAATAAAGCTCAAAATCCTTCTAATAGCTTTTATTTCCATACACACAAATGCATTGGGAACACTACACATTCTATTCCAAATCAAAACATGAAGAAAAATATATCAAATTTGTGTTGTTCCTCTAAAAAAAATTGAAGAAAAGTGAATATTAGACTGTTCAAAAAATAGCAGTGTTTGTATTCTTCTTTACAAACTCAAACATTCACTATATAAACTGAAAAATGTTTGAAGATTTTGCTTTCCTTTGAATCATTTACCGTATTTTTCACTCCATAAGACGCACTTTTTTTCCCCCCAAAAGGGGGGAAAATGTCAGTGCGTCTTATGGAGCGAATGTAAAGCGGCTGGTCCGGTATTTCTGCCGCCACCATGTCAGAATATCGGGCCGGCCGCTCATCTCTTCTCTCCTGCAGGACCTTACCTGTTCCTTGCGCCAGCGCTGCAGTATTCCCGCGGCGCCTTCTGTGACAGCCTGGTGCTCATTGTGCATGCGCGAGAAGCGCTGCGCTTTGTGAATGGTCTGGTGTCTTCTGGGACACATGACAGGTCCCAGAAGGCTCCGGGCCATTCACAAAGGGCAGCGCTTCTCGCGCATGCGCAGTGGGCACCTGGCTGTCACAGAAGCAGCCGCGGGAAGAAGAAGGAAGGACAACTCCGCGGAAGTGGGAGCAGGTACCTGTCAAATTCAGGTACCCGTTCCTCTTCCCTCCCCAAAGGTCTGCAGTCTCTGGTAATCTCCTTTACTGTCTGCAGTCTCTGGTCATCCCCTGCACTGTCTGCAGTCTCTGGTCATTCCCTGTACTATGTCCGCAGTCTCTGGTCATTCCCTGTACTATGTCCGCAGTCTCTGGCCATCCCCTGTACTGTGTCCGCAGTCTCTGGCCATCCCCTGTACTGTGTCTGCAGTCTCTGGCCATCTCCCGTACTATGTCTGCAGTCTCTGGTCATCCCCTGTACTATGTCTGCAGTCTCTGGTCATCTCCTGTACTGTGTCCGCAGTCTCTGTCATCTCCTGTACTGTGTCCGCAGTCTCTGGTCATCTCCTGTACTGTGTCCGCAGTCTCTGGTCATCTCCTGTACTGTGTCCGCAGTCTCTGGCCATCTCCTGTCCTATGTCCGCAGTCTCTGGTCATCCCCTGTACTGTGTCCGCAGTCTCTGGTCATCCCCTGTACTGTGTCCGCAGTCTCTGGTCATCCCCTGTACTGTGTCTGCAGTCCATTGGTTCAGAATATTTTTTTCTTGTTTTTCTCCTCTAAAACCTAGGCGCGTCTTATGGTCAGGTGTGTCTTATGGAGCGAAAAATATGGTAATTAATATTTAGTTGTATAAGCACTGTTTCTGAGAACTGCTGTACATCTGTGTTGCATGGAGTCAACCAACGTCTGGCACCTGTGAACAGGTATTCCAGCCCAGGATGATTGGACTACATTCCACAGTTCTCTATTTCTTGGGTTTTGCCTCAGAAACTGCATTTTTGATGTCACCCCACAAGTTTTCTATTGGATTAAGATCCGGGGATTGGGCTGGCCACTCTATAACGTCAATCTTGTTGGTCTGGAACCAAGATGTTGCACGTTTACTGGTGTGTTTGGGGTCATTGTCTTGTTTGTACACCCATTTCAAGGGTATGTATATAGTGTATGTATGTATGTACAGTTGTGTTCAAAATAATAGCAGTGTGTTGAAAAAAGTGAATAAAGCTCAAAATCCTTCTAATAGCTTTTATTTCCATACACACAAACGCATTGGGAACACTACACATTCTATTCCAAATCAAAACATGAAGAAAAATAGATCAAATTTGTGTTGTTCCTCTAATCAAATTGAAGAAAAGTGAATATTAGACTGTTCAAAAAAATAGCAGTGTTTGTATTCTTCTTTACAAACTCAAACATTCACTATATAAACTGAAAAATGTTTGAAGATTTTGCTTTCCTTTGAATCACTTAATGAATATTTAGTTGTATAAGCACTGTTTCTGAGAACTGCTGTACATCTGTGTTGCATGGAGTCAACCAACTTCTGGCACCTGTGAACAGGTATTCCAGCCCAGAATGATTGGACTACATTCCACAGTTCTTCTCTATTTCTTGGTTTTCCCTCAGAAACTGCATTTTTGATGTCACCCCACAAGTTTTCTATTGGATTAAGATCTGGGGATTGGGCTGACCACTCCATAACATCCATCTTGTTGGTCTGGAACCAAGATGTTGCACGTTTACTGGTGTGTTTAGGGTTGTTGTCTTGTTGGAACACCCATTTCAAGGGCATTTCCTCTTCAGCATAAGGCAGCATGACCTCTTCAAGTATTCTGATGTATTCAAACTGATCCATGATCCCTGCTATGCGATAAATAGGCCCAACACCGTAGTATGAGAAACATCCCCATATCATGATGCTTGCGCAACCATGCTTCACTGTCTTCACAGTGTACTGTGGCTTGAATTCAGTGTTTGGGGGTCGTCTGGCAAACTGTCTCCGGCCACTAGACCCAAAAAGAACAATCTTACTTTCATCAGTCCACAAAATGTTGCGCCATTTCTCTTTAGGCCAGTCAATGTGCTCTTTGGCAAATTGTAACCTCTTCAGCACGTCTTTTTTTCAACAGTGGGACTTTGCGGGGGCTTCTTGCAGATAGCTTGGCTTCACATAGGCGTCTTCTAATTGTAACAGTACTCACAGGGAACTTTAGACCTTCTTTGATCTTCCTGGAGCTGATTGTTGGCTGAGTCCTTGCCATTTTGGCTATTCTTCTATCCATTCGAATGGTAGTTTTACGCTTTCTTCCACGTCTTTCAGGTTTTGGTTGCCATTTTAAAGCATTTGTGATCATTTTAGCTGAGTAGCCTATAATTTTCTCCACTTCTTTATATGTTTTCCCCTCTCCAATCAACTTTTTAATCAAGGTACGCTGTTCTTTGAATAATGTCTGGAACGACCCATTTTCCTCAGAATTTCAGAGAGAAATGCACTGTAACCAGCATGTACAACATTTGCTGCCTTCCTTCCTTAAATAAGGGCAATAATTGCCACCTGTTTTTCAAAGAATGAATGACCTCACTAATAGAACTCCACACTGCTATTATTTTGAACATGCCCCTTTCAATTAGTGATTCAATTACACAGAATCAGCAGCATGCATGTCATGACTGTTGGGTCTGTTGGATTTCTATTACTCTACTACACCTGCTAGTAAATTATTTGCCATGTAGAAATCTCATTTCTACCAAAAACAGTGATTGATCAGGTTAGTGATGTCTGACTGCTATTATTTTGAACACAACTGTATGTATATAGTGATTTTGGGTGTTTTACAAGGTCAGTATTTTGGGCTGTAAAATGGAGAAAGTAGGCATTTTTTGATTGTAGTAAGGTGTGCTGTTCTTGAAAACCATATGTTCTTACAAGGTCAGATTTTGTCCAGGCTGTTTATTATAGGTGACCTTTGTTTTTGATTTCTATTTCTTAGGTCTGCCGCCATCTAAAACCAAACTTGAATTACAAAAGCACATTACAACATTAAATAACCAGGAGCAGGCCTCTTTGTTTGAAGAAATACAGGTAAGCCTCAAAGTAGTTTTTAATAGGACTTTGTGACCTCTTTTACATAGAATAAAAAAATGCGTCACAAGCATTTTGAACTGATCAGACTTTTTGTTAATGAAACTGTAGATTGGTGTGTGTAGGCAGCATCTGTTAAAATTCCTCACCCATCCATATTGAAATGTGTTTGTAATTTCAAAGCTATACAATGTGAGGCGTCCTTTCTGTCTGCATTTAATGTGGTTATATGCCCATTTGCAGTTGATCCTTTATAATATATTTACCTTCAAGTAGAACTATAGGCAATTTTTTTTTTTTTTTCATTTTGGATAGATCAAGGGAGGGTTATAACCCATCACAATTTTTTTTTTTTTCACCATCTGTCTCATTGGGGAGATTTCACTTCACTTCCTTTCCCTCAGCCAAACCGGAAGTGAGAGGAAATCCCTGGAAATTAAGGGAATTTCTTGGGAACCCTGAGGCCATCAGAACTAGTGTCCCCATTGTTGGATTTCCCTTCTATTACTTTTATGGCTACAACCCAAAATTTTGGATTTTTCTTTTACTTACAATTTCAATGGTAATGGTAAACAGGACAAATAGAGAGGGGAAATCCACAATAAAAACGTGACAGGGGTTCTCATCCATCTCCACTCTGTCCAAAAACTAAAAAAAAAAGTTTTCCTTTAGTTGCAGATTATGGAATCTTTTGCAGTCTGTTTTGCAGAAAATTACTGTTGTTCTCAATTTTTCTTAACCATTTGTAAAATTGGAGCAAAGCTTTGTAGAGTGAGCCTGCAACCCAAGGAGAGTTTCTAGGAAGTTAGCTGTGGATTGTTTTCATATGAGCAGAGACTGCTGGGTAATTGACAGCTCTCTGAATTTAGAGCCACTGAAAATTAAATATAGAACATACACAGTATTTTCCCAACTTTAAGTGTATCTAAACCAAAAATGTAATATATTGCAGCTTACCAGTCCTTAAATTTGGTGGCTGCATTGGTTTCCTTTTTTCATCCTTTTCCCCCACACTTCTGTCTTATGGTGACAACGCATACTTGCTGTACTATAGAGGAACAGTGTTGTCACCCTAGGCTGCTCTCTTGCCTTGGACTATAAACACATCCTCCCCTTCTTCTCTCCACTGTATAGGCAGGATGTGTTCTGTAGTTCACAGAAGGCAGGTTGGAGAGCTGATAACCTTGTGTAAGATATCAGTTCAGTGCAAACAACATGGGAAACATCAGATGTCCTCACATAGGTCTGGTCAGATCTGGTCATGTGTCCTCCACTGTCTCATGGTTCACACTCAGGATTCACATTTAGGGATGACTGCTCTGTGAATGTAGTCAGCTCCCGTGGCGGACCAATGGATTGTGCAACTCCTGCGGGAGCTAACTACATTCACAGAGCGGTCATCCCTAAATGTGAATCCTGAGTGTGAACCATGAGGCAGTGGAGGACACATGACCAGATCTGACCAGACCTATGTGAGGACATCTGATGTTTCTGTTATAAATGCGCATAAAGATTGCGTATCTGGTGAGTGCGCAATCTATACCATATTTTCTCACCTCATCCACGATTTTAGTCATTGGACGTCTGAAGATCATCTGAGATCTCACTCACATTGTCACCTTGGACTTATCTTTATTTGATATAGTGCATCTTTTTCACGATACCGGCCACATAATTTAGTGGCACATATACTTGCACAGTGTCACTTTATTGTATGTATTTATATATGAATTTATTTATTTATCATCTATTAGCACTGCACCCCCCCCCCCTTATTTCTGTTCATCTGAAGGTCTTATATGGTGCCTTTGGTGCATAGCCGCTGTTATAATATATTATCTTAGTGCTCACTTATTTATATATTTTTAGTGTCTCATACTTTCAGATATGACAGCCCAAGTGAGGGGGGGGGGGGGGGGGGGCTGGCATTACAGGGATTGAAGTTCCTATTTAAATTTTATATTGAGTGAATTTAAAGCGGGCTATATATTATGAATTTTTCCTAACACCATGGGTTGAAAGGGTGACTGTATTGATGAAGGAATCCCTCCCACAGCCTTCTTGTGTTCTGACGGCGGAAAGCCCTTCCTGCTAGCGGAACACAATGATTACTTCTAGCAGCTGTGGCCATTGGCAGTAATTGCTTGTAAAAAATCCAACAGGCTGCTTGTACCTATGTCGATCGATGGAACAAGTTCAGTACAACTAGCCTGCCCATAGATGGATCGAATCTCGGCGCTGCTTCAGCAGATTCAATCTATCTATGGCTGGCTTAAGACCTGTCAGGTTTCACTGCTGTCAAGTACATCATCATTGGAGAGATTTTGTGTCCCACTGAGAATGGTTTTACCAGGCAGGAAGTGAGGGAAAACTTAGAACGGAAAGCAATAAAAAGCTGATTGGTTCTAGTTTTTCACTACTCTACTTGAACAAAGGTTTTTGGCGGGAGATGAACTTTTCAGAATGTGCCCAGTGTCACAGTACAAAGATCAGACACTCTGCCCATAACTGAAGTATGTCTATGTAATCCTGTTGTCCATCCCATTTGGACTTGTGAACTCTAGGAGTAAGATAGTGTTTTAAACTATTCAAATTACTTTGGGTGGGAATGTCCAGGTCTGTGTGAAGTTCATACTTATGAATGAACGAAGTGTTCAGTTTCTGTTGGCCAATTAATCTGTTTTGTCCTCATGTAATTTTAATGAGGCCTGCCTTTCTTGTATTGAAGAATCTGAATATTTTATTAAGTATTAAAAGTGAAATCTTATTATGCTGCAAACAGCAACGTGATAAAGGCATCTGATGATATTCATTCCATTGTATACTGTAGTAATTTATTTAATCCTGGAGTCCATTTGTACTGATCATTTTTCTTGTTCTAATAACGAATATGTGGTCCTCTTTTTAATTTTTTTCTTCAATATGGACTTTTTTTTTGTTCAATAATGTAGGGACTGAGCAAACCTTTCAAACAGAGGATTTTTAGTACAGGAACAGAAAAATAAATGATTGGTCTTGTGGCCATTCCCTTCATTTAAATAAGTAGGGGACTGGTAATGGTGCAGATCATACATGCACAACTGCTGAACGAGGGAATCAAACAGATTCCTCCATCCAAGCTAACTATTATGGATGGAGGAATCTCCCTTGCTGGCTATTGTATTCAAGCAGCAGCAGTACCTATGGCTGTATGAATGCCCAAACAGTGGCTGGATTTGATCGGATCAGATGCAGTCACTGTTTTGGCTGAAAATTTTCCACCCACCTCTTTCACTTTTTTAATGGATGTTTGCTGAGTTGGGTGGTGCAACATATAGCTTGGATTTTGGTTGTCTCAGCAGGCATTGAATGAAAGTTGAGCAGTATATGGCTAGTTTGAGTCCGGTTGCTTGTTTTAGAAGTGTTGTGTCCAAAGCCACTTACAAATGTAGTTATCCCAATGTGTCAAGTGATAAAGAAACTGTGCCCTGTGATTTAGATGTTTTGAAATGTGAGTATATGGCTCGTGGATGACTTCGCAGCTTTCAGCCAATCCAATCACAGTAATGCTGGATAGCATTTAGACTTGCAGTTGTGGAGCTAAAAATGTGTGGTTGAGCCACATTTTATATCCCCACCCAGAAAATAATCCAACTGTCTTGCTTTATGCACAGCAAGCTCACCAAATGAAACCCATTCAAACAAATCTGGAAATGCCACAAATGCCCTAAAGCTAAGTTCAATGCATGTGGTTGTGGTGCATTTTGTGTGTCAATTATGGGGGCAAAAATAGGCATCACATCACCTCCTCACAAACTGTTAAATGCCTCTGAAAAGCAATCTGAACACAGCTCACTTTATAGAGGAGCAGCAGCTTAGATGCAGGTCTAAACCTAACCTAAGGAAATAAAGGGTAACCATTGGAAGACTTACTTGCAAGGTTAGTTTCTTCCAACCTCTGTCACTGTCATGTTCTGGATAGCTCTGTCTGCAGGGGAATGTATATGTGTGTGTGTACACACACTGTGCCTTGAAAAAGTATTCATACCCCTTGAAATTTTCCACATTTTGTCATGTTACAACCAAAAACGTAAATATATTTTATTTGGAAGTGGAAGGAAAATGATAAATGGTTTTGAAATTTTTGCATTTGTATTTAGCCCCCTTTACTCTGATATCTGATAACTAAAATCTAGTGGAACCAATTGCCTTCAGAACTCATCTAATTAGTAAATAGTCCACCTGTGTGTAATTTAATCTCAGTATACATACAGCTGTTCTGTGAAGCCCTCAGGTGTTTGTTAGAGAACATTAGTGAACAAACAGCATCATGAAAGCCAAGGAACACACCAGACAGGACAGGGATAAAGTTGTGGAGAAGTTTAAAGCAGGGTTAGGTTATAAAAAAAAAACAAAAAAAAAAAACAAGCTTTGAAAATCTCACGGAGCACTGCTATCTGAAAATGGGAAAGAGTGTGGCCGAACTGCAAACCTACCAAAACATGGCTGTCCACCTAAACTGACAGACCAGGCAAGGAGATCAGTAATCAGAGAAGCAGCCAAGAGGCCCATGGTAACTCTGGAGGAGCTGCAGAGATCCACAGCTTGGGTGAGAGAATTGTCCACAGGACGTTGGCTATGCACTCCACAAATCTGGCCTTTATGGAAGAGCGGCAAGAAGAAAGCCATTGTTGAAAGAAAGTCATAGGAAGTCCCGTTTACAGTTTGGGAGACACCATGTGGGGGACACAGCAAACGTGTGGAAGAAGGTGCTCTGGTCAGATGAGACAAACATTTTTTGTTTTTGGCCTAAAAGCAAAACACTATGTGTGGCGGAAAGCATACACTGCACATCACCCTGAACACCATCCCCACCGTGAAACGTGGTGGCAGCATCAAGTTGTGGGGATGCTTTTTTTCAGGGACAGGGAAGTTGATGGGAAGATGAATGGAGCCAAATGCAGGGCAATTTTAGAAGAAAACCTGCTAGAGTCTGCAAAAGACTTGAGACTGGGAAGGCG